CCGGCATGACTCAATGGCAAAGGCGCATGGAACGCTGTTACCTTCCCACCAAAGGTGGTTCCTATTTTTCTACTTGCATTTTAACTGCTAGGTTTGCAGAAGCTGGGACAAGTAACGGGACTAAAACTCCCAACAGCACAAAATATCATGGTGTGGAAGATGACTCTGGATGATAGGACCTGCCCTTCAATGTACCTTGGGAGACATCATGTGCTTAAAGGATCACTGCACAGTGTTGTGGTCCACCAGCTGCCAGTGGAGCTGCTGGCAGACTCGGATGATGAGGCGGTTGGGGAGGAACTTGGGCCAGTTCTGGAGTCTGGGGAAGGCTCTGATGGACGCTCTGCGTCAGAAGCCAGAGCCATCCGACATTTCCCAGCTACCTTCGGAGTCGGAGATAAGTGGGGAGGAAGAACAGCTGGGGCCCGTTCCAGATGGACATTTTCATGGAGCTGTTAGGGGAGGAGAACAACTGAGGACAAGGAATCAACTTGAGAAGAAAGGCACATGTGGATGCTGAATGGTCCCACCTTGGCTGGGGAATAAATAGAAGGAAAGGAGAGTGGTGGTCGTAGGAGACAACAGTTCGTATATCTTTCAGATTTGCTTATCGTGGTTCAGAGACTGCTAGCCAGAACTTAATTTACAGCTTTTCAGCTGGAAGCTCCCTGCCTGGCAAGTTTCCCAAGGAACGGATAAGGTCTGTTACTGCAGTTAACCCTTTGAAGGATTATTGCCTGGACTTTTCGGTGTGTGAATGCCAGTAATTCACGGTAGATAAATAAAGAGGGCTTTTTCAGGACAAAGAGTCCATTTCTTGGTTCTGCGAAGGCTGGGTCAGAACACACAGCCAGAGACCTAGGTTCAAATCACAAAGGAGCATACTTCATAATCTGATCTTGCCGTCCTCTCTCTTTCTCTCTGTCTCTTCCTCTTCTCCTAACCCACTGGAGAGGTTAGCAATAGCAGTTAGACTTATATACCGCTTCATAGGGCTTTCAGCCCTCTCTAAGCGATTTACAAAGTCAGCATATTGCCCCCACAGTCTGGGTCCTCATTTCACCCACCTCGGAAGGATGGAAGGCTGAGTCAACCTTGAGCCGGTGAGATTNGGTTCCTATTTTTCTACTTGCATTTTTACCTGCTTTCGAACTGCTAGGTTGGCAGAAGCTGGGACAAGTCACGGGAGCTCACTCCGTTACGCGGCACTAGGGATTCGAATCACTGAACTGCCGACCTTTCGATCGTCAAGCTCAGCGTCTTAGCCATTGAGCCACAGTGTCTCTCAAGATTAGTAATAATAAAAAGCTTATGTTCTATTTCTTAGTGGAACATCCATCCAACTCAACAGATGTGGCTTTTGTAACAATTGTGCTTTAAAAAAACAACAACACTAAGAAGCATGAACCTGGCTGAAAATTCAGGGTGCGTTGGATTTTCTTTCATGTTTCGTTTCCTAGCTATTAAGGGGGTGATGGTTTTCTCTTTCAACTCACATGTATGTATCCTAAATCTATCGTGGGTGTATTTCAAGACACACCCAAGATGGCAATCCAGTAACAATAGCTAACAATGTAGGAATTGTGGGGTCCTTGGTGCTTTCCTAGCATGGTGGTTTTCTAGCAGACGTTTCATTAGCAAATTAGGAATGTCATCCGTGCTGTATCAGTGCACTGATGATGTTAACTAGTTTGGTAATGAAACGTCTGCAAGAAAGCCACCAAGCTCAGAGGGCACCAAGAGCCCAAAGTAAGACCCTGAGTGACAAATATTCTCTTCTAGTCTGCACACATGAGCTCTGTGAAACTTTTTCTACTTCCGCCCCCCTCACCCTGTTTGTCAAAAGAGGCCCTCTGAAATGGCTTTCTGTCCATGTTTTATGATGTCTAGAGTCATTTCAAAATAGGGAGTCAAAGAAAAAATAATGATTAATAACAGTTGTATAATAGCTTTTGAACTATGGTACGGGAGAAGACTCCTGTGAGTCCCTTGGACTGCAAGGTGATCAAACTGGTCGGTCCTAGAGGAGATCAACCCTGACTGCTCTTTCGAAGGCCAGATCCTGAAGAGGAAACTCAAATCCTTTGTCCACCTAATGAGAAGGAAGGACTCACTGGAGAAGAGCCTCATGCTGGGAAAGATGGAGGGCAAAAGAAGAAGGGGATGACAGAGAATGAGGTGGCTGGATGGAGCCACCGAAGCACTAGGAGTGAGCTTAAATGGACTCCAGAGGATGGTAGAGGACAGGAAGGCCTGGAGAAACATTGTCCATGGGGTTGCGATGGGTCGGACACGACTTTGCAACTAACAACAAAGACCAAATCAACTTGGAAAGCCTTGGGCTTCCATTCGGTAGGATATGACTAGCATCCCATTCCAGATCTGGAAAAAAAATGGCTATCACCCCCCCCCCCCATTGATTGAAAGAGGTTGTAACTAACATTCTCTAAACTAAACACTAGCCTACATTTCTCCACTTAAAACAAAGGGGGGAAAAAACCACGAACAGTTCAATGCAAATTTTTCTTCTCCTTCAGGACTGGCAATGTTTTTACTCCCAAATATGTCATTGGGGCTCTGTGACTGCTTGTTTGGTATTTAGGGTCAAGATTTTTCTTGAATGGTAGGTGAAGATTAGCCATGGCAGGGAGACCTAGGAGTGGATTAACAAAATTGTTTTGTTTACCCTCAAGGGCTTAATTAGGAACACTGTGGTGTGTGTTGTTCCGTTCTCCTCTTTCCTTTGGCCAAGAAAATTCTAATTGGAGCTCATTATTATTTTTCACATGGACTTCAATTTTATTTTTGACCTTTTGGAACCTCACAGGTGAGCTAGTGAAGAGACCTTAGAGCAGTGGTCTCCAACGTTGGCAACTTTAAGTCCTGTGGACTTCAACTCCCAGAGTTCCTCAAAGCTGGCTGAGGAGCTCTGGGAGTTGAAGTCCACAGGTCTTAAAGTCTTAAAGTTGCCAAGGTTGGAGACCACTGCCTTAAAGGACTGGAGATCTTTTGAAAGATGTGATACTTTGCAACCGACATCCAGTCAAGACCTGAGATAGCATCAACCTTCCCAAAAGGTAAGGTAAAAGTAAAGGTTCCCCTCACACATATGTACTAGTTGTTCCCGACTCTAGGGGGCAGTGCTCATCTCCGTTTCAAACCTGAAGAGCCGGCCCTGTCCGAAGACGTCTCCGTGGTCATGTGGCCGGCATGACTCAATGGCAAAGGCGCATGGAACGCTGTTACCTCCCCACCAAAGGTCGTTCCTACTTTCCTACGTGCATTTTAACTGCTAGGTTTGCAGAAGCTGGGACA